AAAAGTGGGGCGGGCGGGTTCAGCACGGCGCTGCGGTCTCGCGGGCCGGGGGGCGCTTTTTCCCCGCATGCGCGGGGACGGCGGAACAAGAAGGTGAAAAAACCTAATCGCCCGAAAAGGGAAGGGGTGCAACGGCGGCCTTTACGGCGACAGCCTTCGCAGGTTTTTGCCCGTACATGAAAAAAAGCAAAAACTGAAAGAGGCAAGCAGCAATACCGAGGAGATTTGGGACAAATATAAAAATATCCCTTTTTAGGAGGGCGTAAAGACACCAGAGCGATGTGTTTGCAAGCGCGAAGGTTATCGTAAGTGGTGCCAAACCCTCCGCGTTCTTGTTCTTTATGATGGCCCCGGCCAGCGCCAAGGGAGAACTCAACATGAAAACGGAGCAACAGCTTCCGAGGAGTCCATTCAAAGTCTTGGCGGCCGGTGGCTTCACAGAGGCGAGGCACACAATCAGCAGCGACGCGCAGGCTATGAAAGAGATCGCTATCATTACGGTCGTCTGCGACTTTTTGTACGTTGTGTTGGCTATGCGGTGTCCCGACTTCTCCTCACGACGGGCAACTGAGAGGAACACAAGCAAACAGTAAGTCGCAATGGCGTTTCCAATGGCGTTGCACAATATCACGCCAAATGCATCCTGCATGACGCCGTATATGGACCAAACCGCGCAGCTCGCTAGTTGTGCAGAAAAGTACAATGGAGTCATCGCCCCTACTGAACGCTGCTTCTCCATTTTTCTTACAGTAACTACAGGGGCGCCGACCATGCATATGGAGGCGGCGGTTGCCGAAACAGAGACGAAACCCGTAAACGACACCATCGTTGGTTCCTTTCTAGGGTTAAGCAGCCGCTCTCTTTTTCTTCTTCAAGTCACTAAAATAGACAAGCAAAGAAGAAACGGAAATCATGTATTTGTTTTTGTGCCTGAACCGCGGGCCTTGCCAGTACTCGCGCGTACCCCGTTTCTTCAACTACAAAAGGTCAGCTGCGACCCCGCCTTCGCTCAGCCCCTGTCCGTCGCATCCTTATTGAAAGGCAAACTGGAGCAACAACAAGAACAAATAGAGAGCATACCCCAAATACGGGGCTGTGAAAAGCAAACAAACAAACATAAAAACACACTGGGTGTTTGCAACCCCGCAAGGCAACTTCAAGCACGTCTCCCCCCCCCCCCCCCCCC